CCCACCCCATCCTTGAACCCCCACGCCACCCCTGACCCCTGACCCCGCTCCCTCCGTGCCAACCAGGTGTGCAATGTCTCCATTAAGCTGCACAACGATGAGCGTCCAGAGGTCCAGAAGAACGCCGGTCTGGAGCTGGACTACGGCGACTCGGCCCTGGTGTCCAGCGTGGTGCTGCAGGCGAACGATGACGATAACGATGATGAAGAGCTGACCTATCTCCTTGTGGAGGTATAAAGTTGCCTCCTTCTTGTCTTTTCTTCCGCCTGGCTCTTCTCGGTCTTGCTGTAATTGGATGTTTGGTCAGAGTTGTTCCTGTGGTTGTTGTTGCTGTCGTTGTTGTACCTTTGGTTATGTTACAGTTTTCTGATCATGGTGGGTGGTTGGCGGATGCTCTGGTGTGGTTTGCTTCTTCTTTCCTATGGAACATCTATCGTCCTTATCTCCCCTTCTTCTTTTTTATGTTTGTTACTCTCTAGTAACACCTGTAATCTTCTGGCGCTCGTATGACCTTATGCAGTTGGGAGCAGCGTAAAACCTCTAAAAAAACTAAAACTAAACTGATCATGGTACGGTCCGGTGACATACAGTAGTTGTGGACACAGATGGGCAGTTGATTGTAAAGTATTGGGAATATAGATGGAAAATTAATGGTAAAGTATTGGGGATATAGATGGACAGTTGATGGTAAAGTATTGGGGATATAGATGGGCGGTTGATTGTAAAGTATTGGGAATATAGATGGACAGTTGATGGTAAAGTATTGGGGGTTTAGATGGACATTTGATGGTAAAGTATTGGGGATATAGATGGACAGTTGATGGCAAAGTATTGGGGCAGTTGATGGTAAAGTATTGGGGGTATAGATGGACAGTTGATGGTAAAGTATTGGGGGTATAGATGGACAGTTGATGGTAAAGTATTGGGGATATAGATGGGCAGTTGATGGTAAAGTATTGGGGATATAGATTTATGTAGATCTGGTGGTGATGTAGATCTAGTAATAATAATAATAATGATGATGATGAAGTGCACTTTTATAGCACTTACTCACATGTACACACAGCTCTAGGTGCTCTACATCTATCAAAGTATAAAACAATAACTGTAAAAAAAAAGCGCGCACACACACACACACACACACACA